TTGACTTCATGCACACCGAGTTTGGAGACGAACGGCGGAATCCCCTAGGAGAAGTGTTTTAAATTCCTGAGCATGCGTTTCCAAACAACCCTAAATAGCCGACTTCCTGTTGGGCTGGGGTAAAAAGTAAGAGCATGAAGGATATATGAACCGATGAGATCTATATGTGTACCGAGTTTCATATTATTACATGAAAACGTGTTTGATTTATGGACCAAGTTTTCGGAGCCCGTTCCAGGGGGCGCTGTCGAGCCCCCCTGCCACGCCCGGGTACCAGCTTCAGCCCGGCTCTGATGGCCGCGGGTTCTGACATGTGTGCAAAGTTTCAAGAGTTTTTGAGCACGTTAAGGCCCCCAAAAATAGTCGTAAAAATAATAATAATAATAATAATCCTAAGGAAAACAATAGGGCCTTCGCCTTTTCAAGGCTTGGGCCCTAACTACAAGTGTTTAAATATTATACTACTTTCTATCTGAAGGTGTCTAAAATTTGTATCCCGTTGTCCCTGGGAGACAGTGTGAAAGAACTTGAAAAAAAATGTATCCATTGCAGAGATTCTAAGAGTCAATGGTTTATGTTTAACTAAGATATTTTTTGTGCATTATGCATAGTATGAGAATGAGGTTGGGTGACCAATTTAAATATAACTTGTGATTTGAAAAAGCACATAGCAGACATCATATAGTCATTTTATTTTGGTTTCTTGAAGAAAAAGAAAGAAGAAAAGACTAAAGAAATTCTGAAGAGTAGTTTTCTTGCTTTTTTCCTGCGTCTTTGCAACGAAGAAAGGCTTGCTTTTTCCCGCAATTAAGTACACTTTTAATAAAATGAGGAACTGCTGTGTTGATAACCAGATTAGATTTTTAGTTATAATTCTGTAGGTTTAATTTGAGTTTTGCGGTTCTCTTGAGTGTTCAAAATTTCAGACACCAGCCTTGAAAAATGGATGACTGTGGAGAGAGAAAGAGGAAGCGATGCCTTCAGCTCCCCAGCTCCTGAAAGAGGAAGTGGACCCTTCTGAGGGGTCAACTCAAGACAGTTCACTTGTGGTGCCTTCAGCTCCCCAGCTCCTGAAAGAGGAAGTGGACCCTTCTGAGCGGTCAACTCAAGACAGTTCACTTGTGGTGCCTTCAGCTCCCCAGCTCCTGAAAGAGGAAGTGGACCCTTCTGAGCGGTCAACTCAAGACAGTTCACTTGTGGTGCCTTCAGCTCCCCAGCTCCTGAAAGAGGAAGTGGACCCTTCTGAGGGGTCAACTCAAGACAGTTCACTTGTGGTGCCTTCAGCTCCCCAGCTCCTGAAAGAGGAAGTGGACCCTTCTGAGCGGTCAACTCAAGACAGTTCACTTGTGGTGCCTTCAGCTCCCCAGCTCCTGAAAGAGGAAGTGGACCCTTCTGAGGGGTCAACTCAAGACAGTTCACTTGTGGTGCCTTCAGCTTCCCAGCTCCTGAAAGAGGAAGTGGACCCTTCTGAGGGGTCCAACTCAAGACAGTTCACTTGTGGTGCCTTCAGCTCCCCAGCTCCTGAAAGAGGAAGTGGACCCTTCTGAGGGGTCAACTCAAGACAGTTCACTTGTGGTGCCTTCAGCTCCCCAGCTCCTGAAAGAGGAAGTGGACCCTTCTGAGGGGTCAACTCAAGACAGTTCACTTGTGGTGCCTTCAGCTCCCCAGCTCCTGAAAGAGGAAGTGGACCCTTCTGAGGGGTCAACTCAAGACAGTTCACTTGAGGTGACAATTCACTGAAGACTTTTCCTAAAGACAATTTTGCCATACATTATGGAATTTTGTGCCAGGGTGGATCAAAAGCCAGACCGAGAGTGCCATCACAGCCTGATGATCAAACGTATCAGCCCAACAAGTCAACTGAACGACAATCCGCACAGAAAAGAAAGACCTCCATCCCCTCACTTGTGGGCCAGGTGCTGAATTTTCAATGATCACTACAGAGAACGTTTCAAATTTAGTTAATTATCATATTAACTTGATTATTGTTTTTGTTTATCCACTGGTTTCAGCAATTCTTCATATTTCTTCAACTAACACTTTGAATCTGCTTTCAATAGGACTAGTCCAGCAGCCCTACTACAGGAAGTTCAATAGCAGAAGTTGGAGATTGACTCACCAATCAGTTAAAACACTGGGGCTGGATTTGGCATAGTGAGGGTTATTACACTAACCAACTAGTGGTAAAAGTATGAATAGATTATTGACTATGCAGAATTCTCTGGAAAAGGAAATATAGAGCATAAGGTGTCTAAAAAGACATGGCTGGAAAAGCAACAATATTGGTCACTCCATTTCATTTAAAGGTAATTCTCTAGATTCAATAAGAATAATGAATCTCAAAATTTTTAACTTTTGAAATCACATGCTGTCATCACCAGGGGTACGAAATGGAAATGTTTTATTTTTGTCCAAAGATCTTTTAAAAGATGGAAAGATAGGGGGATGGCCTGATTTTCAGATCTTTTTATTGATAATTATTTTGCTTCATTCACCAATCTTATGTCCAAATTTAACCTGCATACTACAGGCTTATTCAGGTATTTTCAACTCCGCAGTTTTGTTAAGACGAACTTCCCTAGTTTCCCTCAATTACCAGAAAAATCTCTGGTTGAGAACTTATTGTCAGCCCCTACAGGTGGTAGTCGTATATACTCTGTCTACACCATGTTACTGCCTAAAGATGACTTGGGAAAATGAGCTGTGAATCAAGTTATCGGAAGAGCTATGGTCTGAGGCCCTTGCTAGAGTTAATTCTACTTCTGTATGTGCTCGGCTGAGTCTTATTCAGCTAAAAGTCTTTCATCGAATTCATCTTACCAAAGCTAAACTTCATAAATTGTTTCCAGAAAGGGGACTACTGTAACAGATGCTCCTTTTCTCCCGCCGATCACACCCATACATTTTTTAGCTGCCCAAAACTGGCCTCATATTGGGCTTCTTTTTTTTTACTTCATGTCTAGAGCTCTGCACGTTTCTCTATCTCCATTCTCTATCACAACACAGTCCTTAAGTGTCACTAGTCCCTCCCTGTGAAGCCCTCCTTCCCTTCCCTTTACCTCTGTACAGATAATCATTGTCGGGATAATTCCGGTTCACGTGGCTACGTTGAAGCGATAAAATTCTGTATAAAATTTTTTAAGGCCAGACAATATAGTTTGTTGAGAGTTGTTTTTTTAGGGAAGGACTACATGCCTGCGCACATATATTCAAACGCGCATACCTATAGAATGAACTCTTAATGCGCATGTGCACGCCATCAGCGTTCTCACAGGTTCGCGTTTTTAAAGTTTGCATAGAAAGAACTTAAGAGTTTTCTGTTAAAATGGTGTCGTGTTAGCGGCCGCTAAGCTAATAACTAATGATCGTTGCGACGGAAGTGAATCAATCAAAACTAACTTTAACTGGAAAATAACTTTATTCTAGAGCTGCCATGAAGCCAAAACAATCTGTTACTTTAATTTCCTATTATCACTGTAAAGACGCTTTGGAACAATCTACATTGTTAAAAGCGCTATATATAAATGAAGATGACTTGACTTGACTCCTGTCCACCGTCGAAAGTGTCTACAATGGGGCACTCGAGCGTCGAAACTGGATTTTGGAGCAGTTGAAGAAGGTCGGGTGGTCCACTGAGTCCCGATTTCTTTTACATCACCTGGAGGCTGTGCACGTGTGCGCCATTTACCTGGGGAAGGGATGGCACCAGGATGCACTGTGGGACGACGACAAGCCGGTGGAGGGAGTGTGATTCTCTGGGCAATGTTCTGCTGGGAAACCCTGGGTTTGGCCACTCATGTGGACATTAATTTGATATGTGCCACCTACCTTAACACTGTTGCAGACTAGGTCCACTCCTTCATGACAGTGGAGTTCCCTGGTGGAAGTGGCCTCTTTTGGCAGAATAATGCTCTCTGCCACACAACACACATTGTTCAGGAATAGTTTGAGGAACATGATGAAAAGCACAAGGTGTTGCCCTGGCCTCCAAATTCCTCAGATCTTAATCCAATTGAGCATGAGTGGGATGTTCTGGACCAACAAGTCCGATCCATGGCAGCTCCACCTAGCATCCTACAGGACTTGAATGATCTGCTGCTAATGTCTCGGTGCCAGATACCAAAGGACTCACCTTCAGGGAGTTCATGCCTCCGCAGCATGCAGAGGACTGACAGCAGATTAGGGAGGTGGTCATAATGTTTTTGCTCATCTGTATACAGTAGTATTATAAAAATGTTGCAGACATACTTCTGGTTGTATGAGAGACATGGGTGTGATTTATCTCACTATAAGTGCTGAGTAGAAAAACATTAGCAAAGGAGTGCAAAAAAATTTGCTTGCATGGTTAATTATGTATAGAGTTCTGTGGTGTACCTGGAGTATTTCATGTGAAGTTTGGAAAACAAGGCACTGACATGCAATTTTTACACTGCATATGGAAATAACAACATGCACATTATGAGAAACAAGTTGTGCAGAGTAAAGAGAGAAATAAAAAAGACATGAACATGAGCAAGTACAAATTGTCTTGCTATATTGTTACCTTAAAAATGAATATTTAAAAATGTACTCTTAAAATAATAATAATACAATTTATATATAATTATTTGTTTAATTTGTATTATTAATAATAATGATAATAAAACATAAATATATGAATAAGTAGTAACAAGAAATGTTTCTTGAGCATCAAATCAGCAGATCAGAATGATTTCTGAAGGATCATGTGACACTAAAGACTAGAGTAATGATGCTGAAAATTCTGCTTTGATCACAGGAATAAATAATCAGTTATTTTAATTTGAAATAATATTTTGGAATATTATACATGAAATAAGTCTTGGTGAGCGTAAGAGACTTCTTACAAAAATGTTAATGTTTCCAAACAGGTACTGTACACACACACACACACATACACAGTTTAAATGGAGAAAATCTGGAAATGTCCCTCATGACAGGAGACTTTACATTTGTAAATCTGTTTAAGGATTGATAAGTACCGTGCTTTGTTCACTTTCATAACGGGAGAGTAGAATGTTGGTTATATTAACAGCATTTGTGATGTTGTGGGCTGTTAGCCGTTCCGGTATGGATGTGAGGATCTGGGTACTGGAGGCTAATAAGAGGACATCGGCTTGAGTAGCTCCAGAAAGCTTAATTAATACAAAAAAAATATATGCAATCTTTTCTGTTTTTATCTGAGGAAATTCATGTAAGTTTTATATGACTATGTAATTATTAGACATTGATTACTTACATCATTGTTAATGGTATCCAGGGTCAAACCACAATGTAGAGTGTTTGGAGGATCAAATAAGTGAGTAGATATACTACAGAGAGCTGAAGCTTTGGGGATTCCGGCTGAAAAACATTCATGTTAAATGAAGAGATATTTAAAGTAGAAAGTATATTGTAAATACAGAAAGATAGACTGAAATACCATTTGGTGTATGTGATGGACATCGCTCAACTGAGGAAGCAAACTGGCCTAAGACCGTTTTTGGAAAGGTGAATTTACTAGTTTGTGTGGGGTTTTGTTCAGGGCAGAAATTTGCTGTAAAAAAAGAGAAGACTGTCAGTAACCTTGACAACTTAATCAAGATTATGCAGTGTACATATCATGCAATATTTTCAATGGGTTTTACAGATGTTGCAGGTAGTTCCAGTCCAATCGTCTGGGCAGAGGCAGATCCCGTTTTGTAAGGTACCCTTGTTTTCACACACCAGATTGGGTTCGATCATTGTTGTGTTCGGGGCAGCTGTAGTGGTGGATCTCTGGGTTCCAGTCTGGAGTGTTGAGGAGCTGAGTGTTGAGGAGCGTAATGTTGAGGAGCTGAGTGTTGAGGAGTCGAGTGTTGAGGAGCTGAGTGTTGAGGAGCTGAGTGTTGAGGAGTCGAGTGTTGAGGAACTGAGTGTTGAGGAGCTGAGTGTTGAGGGGTCGAGTGTTGAGGAGCTGAGTGTTGAGGAGCTGAGTGTTGAGGAGTCGAGTGTTGAGGAGCTGAGTGTTGAGGAGCTGAGTGTTGAGGAGTCGAGTGTTGAGGAGCTGAGTGTTGAGGAGCTGAGTGTTGAGGAGCTGAGTGTTGAGGGGTCGAGTGTTGAGGAACTGAGTGTTGAGGAGTCGAGTGTTGAGGAGCTGAGTGTTGAGGGGTCGAGTGTTGAGGAGCTGAGTGTTGAGGAGCTGAGTGTTGAGGAGCTGAGTGTTGAGGAGCTGAGTGTTGAGGAGCTGAGTGTTGAGGAGCTGAGTGTTGAGGAGCTGAGTGTTGAGGGGTCGAGTGTTGAGGAACTGAGTGTTGAGGAGTCGAGTGTTGAGGAGCTGAGTGTTGAGGGGTCGAGTGTTGAGGAGCTGAGTGTTGAGGAGCTGAGTGTTGAGGAGCTGAGTGTTGAGGAGCTGAGTGTTGAGGAGCTGAGTGTTGAGGGGTCGAGTGTTGAGGAGTCGAGTGTTGAGGAACTGAGTGTTGAGGAGCTGAGTGTTGAGGAGCTGAGTGTTGAGGGGTCGAGTGTTGAGGAGCTGAGTGTTGAGGAGCTGAGTGTTGAGGAGCTGAGTGTTGAGGAACTGAGTGTTGAGGAGTCGAGTGTTGAGGAACTGAGTGTTGAGGAGCTGAGTGTTGAGGGGTCGAGTGTTGAGGAGCTGAGTGTTGAGGAGCTGAGTGTTGAGGAGCTGAGTGTTGAGGGGTCGAGTGTTGAGGAGCTGAGTGTTGAGGAGCTGAGTGTTGAGGAGCTGAGTGTTGAGGAGCTGAGTGTTGAGGAGCTGAGTGTTGAGGGGTCGAGTGTTGAGGAGCTGAGTGTTGAGGGGTCGAGTGTTGAGGAGCTGAGTGTTGAGGAGCTGAGTGTTGAGGAGCTGAGTGTTGAGGAGCTGAGTGTTGAGGGGTCGAGTGTTGAGGAGCTGAGTGTTGAGGAGCTGAGTGTTGAGGAACTGAGTGTTGAGGAGCTGAGTGTTGAGGGGTCGAGTGTTGAGGAGCTGAGTGTTGAGGAGCTGAGTGTTGAGGAGCTGAGTGTTGAGGAACTGAGTGTTGAGGAACTGAGTGTTGAGGAGCTGAGTGTTGAGGGGTCGAGTGTTGAGGAGCTGAGTGTTGAGGAGCTGAGTGTTGAGGAGCTGAGTGTTGAGGAGCTGAGTGTTGAGGAGCTGAGTGTTGAGAAGTCGAGTGTTGAGGAGCTGAGTGTTGAGGGGTCGAGTGTTGAGGAGCTGAGTGTTGAGGAGCTGAGTGTTGAGGAGTCGAGTGTTGAGGAGCTGAGTGTTGAAGGGTCGAGTGTTGAGGAGCTGAGTGTTGAGGAGCTGAGTGTTGAGGAGCTGAGTGTTGAGGAGTCGAGTGTTGAGGAGTCGAGTGTTGAGGAGTCGAGTGTTGAGGAGCTGAGTGTTGAGGAGCCGAGTGTTGAGGAGCTGAGTGTTGAGGAGCTGAGTGTTGAGGAGCTGAGTGTTGAGGAGCTGAGTGTTGAGGAGCTGAGTCTTGAGGAGTCGAGTGTTGAGGAGCTGAGTGTTGAGGAGCTGAGTGTTGAGGAATCGAGTGTTGAGGAGCTGAGTGTTGAGGAGTCGAGTGTTGAGGAGCTGAGTGTTGAGGAGCCGAGTGTTGAGGAGCTGAGTGTTGAGGAGCTGAGTGTTGAGGAGCTGAGTGTTGAGGAGCTGAGTCTTGAGGAGTCGAGTGTTGAGGAGCTGAGTGTTGAGGAGCTGAGTGTTGAGGAGTCGAGTGTTGAGGAGCTGAGTGTTGAGGAGTCGAGTGTTGAAGAGTCGAGTGTTGAGGAGCCGAGTGTTGAGGAGCCGAGTGATGAGGAGTTGAGTGTTGAGGAGCCGAGTGTTGAGGAGCCGAGTGTTGAGGAGCCGAGTGTTGAAGAGTCGACTGTTGAGGAGCCGAGTCTTGAGGAGCCGAGTGTTGAAGAGTCGACTGTTGAGGAGCCGAGTCTTGAGGAGCCGAGTGTTGAAGAGTCGACTGTTGAGGAGCTGAGTCTTGAGGAGCTGAGTCTTGAGGAGCCGAGTGTTGAAGAGTCGACTGTTGAGGAGCTGAGTGTTGAGGAGCTGAGTGTTGAGCAGCCGAGTGATGCATTGGTTCTTATAGAGATGATCTTATATATTTGAAAAGATTCAGTCTGTTCAAAAACAGCTGTTTACAGAGACAAAACATTATACAAAAGGTATCAGTCAGGTTGCAGGTTTGATCTCCTTCAAGTGTTTTTTTTGTTTTTTATGTGTCGGCCACACACGGCTTTGTAATAAATGCAGCCGTGCATGCTCTTACAGCTGTTTCTCATTCTTTTCTGATGTGTTCCTTTTTATAACCCTCAGTTTTTCTCTTTCATTGCCTGTTTTGTCTATTTGACTACACGTTTATACATGTTTGTCTTGGTTTTTTAGTTCTTTTGTTTTTTTTCAGACCGGCTTTCCTATGCCATTGAATCTCGTTACCTCTAGCTAGTAACTTGCTTTGATGGATTATTTCTATCTGTTCCTGTCTGCGTTTTAACATGCGTCAAGTGATCGTCTGCCTGGGTCTGAACCTCTGCCTTCTTATAAACTGGCTGCCAGATCGAATATGGATTTTCCCTGTTCCTGCTTTTGTGAGCTCAACTGCTCATCTATTTGCCTCGTGACCTCTTTTTCTGTTATCTAGCCGTCTGTATGGACTTTGATCTTTTGCTGGGCCATTGATTGACATAACTCTTAAAATAAATTTTGAGTTATGATTAAATTTTGATCAATAAATAAATTAACCAGCCATTAATCAGTCTAACTAAAAATCAATAAACTAACATTAAAAATCCCATGGCACTTCTCGTAAAGAGTAGGGGTGTAACCCCGGTGTCCTGGCCACATTCCACCCATTGGCCCCTGCTGCCAATCATGGCCTCCTAATAATCCACATCCACTGAATTGGCTCTATCACTCTCTCTCCTCTCCACCTATAGCTGGTGTGTGGTGAGCGCACTGGCGCCGTTGTACTGTAGCTGCCGTCGCATCATCCAAGTGGATGCTGCACACTGGTGCTGGTTGAGGAGAGAACCCTTGATATGATTGTAAAGCGCTTTGGGTGTACAGTAGTACATATGAAAGCGCTATATAAATGCCTAATTCATTCATTCATTCAACTAACCTGAAACCAATCTCAGTTTGTTTTGATTTCTAAGTGCCATTTAGCCACTTTAGGTAGGTTGAAAAACCTCTTTTAAATAACATCAAATATTAGCAGAAATGTGTAGTCTCAAACAAAACTTTAGTTAAAACATCAAAATTAAGTCAAAAACTATTTGATATGACTTGGGTAAATTGGCTATAGCAATAAAAGTAATTTATATAGGTCAGATCAGAAATAGCTCAATGTAACAACTTACTTTTTGCACCGTATACACAAACACATCACACAGACCCCCTTAATGTGATTTGTAGTGATATGTATCGTGCATTAGTCAAATTAGTAGGCCACTTCTATTTCACAAGTATTTGGAAAATTAGGATGTGACATGTAGTGGTTACACAGAACTGTGATATGCAAAACACCAATATGGAAATGAACCCAGAAAACTAGCACACAATCAGGAATGCAAGTTGTGCAAAAAGGGTTAAGAAAGAAACAAAAGATGAGAAGTAAGTGTCTTGCTGAACAATCAAATAAAGCATCAAAATGAAATAATAATCCATTATTGTCTAAAACATACCCATTATTAATTATTCCTAAGGAAAATAGTGGAGATATATTGTTTTATTATTGCTATTAATTGTTAAAAATAATAACATAGTATAGTTAACTATATATAATTAACTTGTATAACAATTGTAACAATTTCAAAAGTGAACCTTACCTGCGGTAAAGATTAAGAGCAGAAAGTGGTCCATTACACACAACAAATATAAAACTAACTACTAATATGAAGTCTTGTTACTGTCTGCTTTATAAAGGGCTGGATCTTTACTGGAGTGGGAAGTCCATCAGTCAAGGAAATAACCACCCATATCCAATTATACTTACATTACAGACCGAGCTAAACAATAAAAGTATATTACATATTATTCCGTGTTATTCACATAGGCACAGCACATATACCAATCTTTCTCCAAAACACACATGCTAAATTATGGAGGGATATTGGGATGTTAAAACTGAAAGCTCAAGAATCCATTAATTCATCCTATATACCCTTTGTCAACATGTTTAATGATGTAGAGGAATAAAACAATTAAACAGTTTCTATTTTCTACAAGTGTGAATACATTTTTAGGCAATGATTAGCGTACCTAACCTTACCTGTATCCCACATTAAAAGCAAGATAAAACATGAACACAATAAGGACATTGTACCAAAAAAAAAAAAAAGTATGTTAATGATTATACATTACCATACCTGTATCCCACCTCAATAACAAGATAAAACATGAACACAATGAGGATATTGCACCAAAACATTTTCTTATGTAAGTAGTTAAAGACATGTGGACATTTAATAAAAGTGGGACAATATTTGTAAAAATTTCCTAATCCTATGAAAAGCTTCCTTTGTCCTTATCTCCATGTATAATATTTACTGTACCGAATCATTATGTTAAGCATCAACATTTGACAAATATCACTATAAACTGTAGTTATATTTTGTTTCACCATCGCTGAGCCTTGAGAGCAGAAAAGAATAAATCAAACAAACCACATATTTTCAAATAAACTTTCTTTTAATAAACAGTAAGAAAATTGAAATCCATAATTTGTCCTAAAGCAAGTCTGATCAAAGACTAAAGTACAATTTTTGAAAAGACTGTTTGCATATTATGTTATATTATAATATCTAAAGTTTACTAAACACTGTAACAAATTATGTGATCAAAAAGTAATGACAACATATGCTTTTACATTGCTTAACTCATCAAAATAAGTCATGCAATTTTCAACTTTGTTATACAAGGTTCAACTAATTAATTTAATGTAATTTAGGTTGAAATGATCTACATTTTTAAGTACAATCAACCTGTACAGTACCTAATGAGAGTATATGAGATAATTTAATAATGTATTAAATAATATTAAACTGAACTAAAATAAATTTCAGCAAACAAAGGGAATCTTGCAATCTTGTCTTGTCCTTGGCTTTTTCTGTCCATTTTCCATGTTAAGGCTCTCCCCCTGATTCAGTCTTAG